TTTAGGGTTATTGGGCTTTAGGGTTTAGGGTTTAGGGCTTTAGGCTTTAGGCTTTAGGCTTCAGGCTTTAGGGTTTAGGGTTTATGGGCTTAGGGTTTAGGCTTTAGGCTTTAGGCTTTAGGCTTTAGGCTTTAGGCTTTAGGCTTTAGGGGTTTGGGCTTTAGGGTTTAGGGGTTTAGGCTTTAGGGTGTAGGCTTTAGGCTTTAGGCTTTAGGCTTTAGGCTTTAGGCTTTAGGCTTTAGGCTTTAGGCTTTAGGCTTTAGGGCTTAGGCTTTAGGGTTTAGGGTTAATGTGCTTAGGGTTTAGGGTTCAGGGTTTAGGCTTTAGGTTTTAAGCTTTGGGCTTTAAGGGTTTATAGGGTTTATGGGCATAGGATTTACGGTTTTAGGCTCTAGGGCTTATAGGGATTATGGGCTTAGGATTTAGGGTTTAGGCTTTAGGGTTTAGGCTTCAGGGTTTATGGACTTAGGGTTTAGGGTTTAGGGTTTATGGGCTTAGGATTTAGGGTTTAGGGTCAAAACGATCTTGACCCTTAAACCCGGCACGGTGTTTGGCTACCATAGTTTCTAACCATAAACAAGTCATCCAACAAAACGTACTACATTGAAGGGTCAAGATACCCAGACCTTCCAAAACCCTTTAATTACGGCCAGCACCACGCAAGCACCCTTTAATGAAGAGCTTACCTTAAGAGCGGGTACTGAACCTCTATGACGGGGGTGTGCTTTGCAGGGTTCGTGCGAGAAGAACGCTGAATCCGCAACACTGATCAGGAAACCCGTCTCACAATCCCCAACTCCCAAACCCTACAGACTCTAGTTAACCCTCAGACCCTGTCAGAACCCTTTACCCTAAACCCAAAGCCCCTAAACACGATAGGAACCCTAAACACTGAAGCCCTATAAACCATTCAGATTTAAGATCTAGCCCTAGATACCCTGGAAACCACTTGACCCTCCAGAACTTAAGGGATTATCAGACCCCAACACACAAAAGCCCTCAACGACATGTCCTGACTGAGTTGAACTCCTCACGAATTCACGGCACTCCTGCCTTCCCGGCACCTACATTACCCGCACAGCCCATATCCCTATATCCTAAATATACCGACCCAGTTCACTACATATGGAGCCTGAGGATATAACATGGTATGACATTCTGAACAAAAAATCAGGCCTTGAAAAGGATCATCCGCGGGCTCTGTCGCCCTAACCCTGCTTAATCGACTGTGCTGAGCCCAGAGAGTTGAACGCCCTGCAGCCCTAGTTGCTAAGCTTGTCGTAAGCCTACCAACCCTAAAACCACAAACATGTTTAAGACATACACCTGCAAAGACTCACCTTCTTTGTTTCAGTTAAAACACCGCAAAGCACAAAACCCTAAACCTCGGAAGTTAAGTTGTGCCCGAGCCCACAGACAACTCACCTTTCGTCGATTCTAAACCTTCTCAGACCTCTACAGCCGCAAACATGATGCGCAGGGCTGCGTCGTTCGGCGGAAAGTTGCACGCCGCCGGTTCCGCGGCGCAGGTTGTCACTGCAAGGTGCAGAGACACAGCTATGTGTTGGAGTTTGTTGCCTCTCAGGTGTCGATCTTGTTGAGTGGTTTGTGCACTTGAGTGTTGTCGCTGTGTCCTCAACTGTTTAGCTAAGACAGCTAAGTTGGTTGGGTGCCTGAAGGGTTATGTTGGGTGTTTCTATGGGCTAGTAGGGATTACAGAGTTTATAGGTCTGTGGGGTTGAAGGCATATACCATTTGGGCACATGGACCTTTAGGGATTCTGATTAGGAAGCAAAGCAATTGCTGGCCTGCTTCTTCATAAAGCTGCAACGCAGGGTTATAAACCCCGAAGCCAGAACCGTAGCTTCTTGAAAATGGGACCACGGGACGTTGCTACTTGTAGGATGTTCGGTGGCAGCAGCAATGGCTCTTCGAATCGGGACCGGCATCGCTACCGTTACTTCTCGTTAGGGTTCCCTGTGTGCACAAAGGAACCATGCGGGTTTTGTAAGACCCAGGTACACTCTAAGCTGGACCCCAAATCCTGTAGATCCCCTAATGCCGACCACCCTAAACCCTAAATCCTTCGTTTCAGCTTTGTGTCGCAACGGGCCAGCAGTTGCTCTGCTTCCCAAGCAGCCTTTGTAAGGGTCCATGTGCCCAGATAGTATATACTTTGTCCTTAAAGTAGTCTTTATATAGGTAATTTGGGGCCAAAGTCTATACTACTTGGGTACATGGACCCTTCGGCAATAGGTCGTTTTCAAGGGTTCCTTTTGGCGGGGTATCTTAATGGCTTAGTCGAGTGTAGGGGCCTGAATCGTTGGGTTTAGGGTTTAGGGTTTGATATATATATATATATACACGCACACATACATACATGTATATCTGTATATACACATATACATATCGCTGTCTGCCTGCCTGCCTGTCTGCCTGTTTGCGTGACTGCCTGTCTGTCTGTCTGTCTGTCTGTCTGTCTGTCTGTCTGTCTGTCTGTCTGTCTGCTTGCTTGCCCATTAAATTGTTCGCTTCCAGTAAAACATCTATAATATAAACCACAGTAGAAATACATAACTTCAAAGCTTCGAACAGCAGGCGCCAAGCGCGGCGAGCTTCAACGTCGGGCCCTTACACGCTGAGTTCTTGGCAAGCTGCGTACAGTAATGACTTAAACCAGCTCCTAAACCTCAAACTGTATAATCCCAGCAACCCTAGGAGTGAATAATGGCAGCAGAAATAAATGAAATTTTCAGAAAACAGGAGACCGCAATATCGAGCCCGATAGGTAGTATGATGCATATGCAGGGACCCATAAATATTGATCAAATCTGCACGTAGCTTGACCATGAAGCCCTTGAATATTTACAATGTCAGTATCTTCTTTAAGCTTGAACGGCAGCATGGCATGCATCAGGCTTCATCGTTAGGTTTAGTGCGGTAATGCGGTGTAGCAGCGTTTCAATTTCGTATACCATCCGCTAGTCACATGAGTCACATGAGACCCGTGAAACTCGCAACTAAATCTATGGTAAAATGCAGTGGCGTACATAGTGTAGCTTAGAGTGTCGCGGCAATTTGCAAGTGCTGTGTGCATGAACAATGAGGTAAATCTAAGACGACCATTAACCCCCAACGCAGCTTGTAATTCAGTGCCGTATGGTACAGAGTGGTATGGATAGTACGACTTATACAGTATCGCTTAGTAGAACATGCATAGGCATCGATACCGATAGAACACAAGCGAACATAACATAGTAAAATGTAAAGGTTGGACCACACTGCTCGTGCACAGTAGTACGAGTATCAGTCTTCGTATCAGCTAAGGTATTCGTAGTACCATTGTTGTTTGTTTTCCGTAGTTCCTTTCCATCCGGCTTGTTATTATAATTTTCATGTTTTCTGTCAGCACACTAAACCCTAAACCCTAATCTTATTCTTCGTGACGTCGTGCTGGTTCGGTGTCTCGGCCCCAAGGCAGGCTCGAGGGAGCCCTCTTCTTCACATCCCAGGGTTTAGGGCGGGTTTAGGGTTTAGGGTTTAAGGTTTAGGGATAACTCGAGTTTCAGTTTCAGCTCGTCGTCCATCACGACTTGAGCTCATGTCATCCTGCATCTTCGGAAAGCACCGGACGCCGCTGGAGATCTACGGACGATCCTTGCCCAGTGATGCAGACGCCGCTTGGCACTGCACCTCACGTAACAGACGAGCCTGACAAATTAGGTTATAGCAAAATATACCTGGAAGCCCTCCACTACTTATTAGGCCTTCGTCTAGATTCATTTGCAGCAGAGGCCTCTGCTACATGGGAGTCCAAGCAAAAGGCCCATGTTCTTTGGGGCTTTTCTCAGGCTTTGCCGATGCACTTTCCCATGTACACTGTACCTGCGGATGTGCTGCTGAAGATGACGACGGTGGAGCCCCATGAGATGTTAAAGGCAGCTGCACCGTGGAGTCAGGATGTTCCATTGAAGGGCTTCATTCATGTGTTGGCAAACTCCCGTCTCTCTCGCCTAAGGCTCACCCCTTCAACAAGCAAAAAGGGGGAGGGGGCGCAACAGTCTATGCCAACTATAGCTTAGATGTCGTACTGTCTGGCGACAGCTGCTATAAGTCACGGGGGGACAGCCTGGATCAAATTTTGCAATCACTGGCGACTAACGGGCAGGGCCATGACACAGAGCCTGAGATCTCCACGATATGTCTTACTGCCCGGGGGGCCTTGTGGCGCGTTACCGTTTGAAGGCGTGGCGGTGGGGGTTCGTTTTTGGTATTTTTGTTGGGTGTTTGTTTTTTGGTTTTCGCCTGCATGGCTTCACTCGCCGAGTCAGTCAGCCAGTCAGTCGGTCAGTGGATCTGCGAGCCCGCCGGGCAGTAGTCAGTCGGTCCGGGCCAGTCAGTCGGTCAGTCGTCCGTCGATCCGCGAGCCCTCCAGTCAGTCAGTCAGTCGGTGCGCCGTTCGGTACGCGAGCATGCCGGTCTGTCGGTCAGTCGGGAGGTCGGTCAGTCGGACAGTCGGTGAGTCAGTCCGCCAGTGTTTGAGTTGATGATGAACCGATATCGCCAAATGAGGGGGTGTGTGTGAGATATAGAATGAACCGGAATAGCCACATGACGGGGCGTGTTTAACATATGTGATGAACCTTTATCGCCAAATGAGAGAGCATGTGTAAGATGTGTGATGAACCGCTATCGCCAAATGAGGGGGCGTGTTCACGATATGTGATGAACCGGACTCGCCACATGAAGGCGCATGTCTAGGATATATTTTTTGTGAGCCGGAGTCACCAAGGGCCCGCACTTTTTTTTTTTCCTACCGTTGGCGGTCCCCGGCGGCCCTTGGTAACGTTGGCGGTAAGTTAAGGATTTTAAACAATTTA